GTGCTATATGCAATCATTGAGCAGATGAGAAAATGGTAATGCACAGATGCTAAACAGTTTTTCCAAGACAATAAAGAAAGATCTATGCTAAAAATCCCTGTCTCCTTGTTCCAAGGTTATTTTTCATTTTACACCTAGCTCAGGCCTCTGGGAAAGCTATCATTAGAAGTTTTATGGATTGCCAAACCATACTGCTGGACTGGAACCATAAGCCACTTCTCTTGATCCACAGGCACAACACTTCGTTTGGACGTCTGGGATGGATGGAAGGAATTTCTGATGGGTTGTCTACTTGGACAAAAACTTAAAGTCCAACGCTATTTATCAAAAGAAGGACCAGTACTCAAGTATGAGAGATTAATGTTAAATTAACTTAGCAAGTGCTGTAATTTTTCACTAAACTTCAATCAGACCTTGAGCCTGCAATTGACTGTACAGCTGGGGTACTGCTCTCTGCCAATTCCACTTACCGTGTCTCAGCCAAATATTATTGACATATTTGCTGGAACAAAACAGCAGGGATGCCATCAGGACTCATAGTATTATGATTCAGGTAGACTTCCCTCAGGAAATACTAACTACAGTTAACCTTTAACAATGCAGGGGTTAGGGATGCCAACTCCCCACACAGTTGAAAATTCACATATAACTTTTGACTTCCCCAAAGCTTAGCTACTAATAGCCTACCATTGACCAGAAGCCTTACTGATAACACAGTCAATTAACACACGTTGTGTATGTTATATGTATTATATACCATATTCTTACAATAAAGTAAGCTAAGAAAAGAAAACATTAAGAAAAATCATAAGGAAGAGAAAATGTATTTACTAGTCATTAAGTGGATGTGGATCATTATGAAGGTCTTCAATCTTCACGTTGAATTAGGCTGAGGAGGAGAAAGAGGAGAAGGGGTTTGTCTTCTGTCTTGGGTGTGGCAGAGGTGGAAGAAAATTCACAACCTGAACCCCTGCAGTTCAAATTCACGTGTTCAAAGGTTAACTGTGATTAAACGGGTGACTTCGATTTGGTTTCGATATGAGACTTTCAGCAACATTTTCAAAGGCTATCAGAATAAATACAGACAATCCCCAACTTACGATGGTTCAAACAGATTTTTCAATTTACAATGGTGTAAAAGTAATATTCATTCAGTAGAGACCAAACTTGCAGTGCACATACAACCATTCTTTTTCATTTTCAATATAGCATTCAATAAATTACATGAGATGGTCAAAACTTTATTATAAAATAGGCTTTGTGTTAGATGATTTTGCCCAACTGTAGGCTAATTAAGGTAGGCTAGACTAAGATTTGATGTTTAGGAGATTAGGTGTATTAAGTGCATTTTATACCTATCATACTTCCAACACATGATGGTTTGTATCAGAACGTAACCCTTTAATAAGTCAGAGGACATCTGTATCTTGCCACTTTCACATTCAGTTATTCTTTAAGAAAACACTTGTTAATTGGCTGAAAACATTGGCCATATCTTCCTAAGCTCACATGTAATTTTTCAAACTGCATTTATTACCAGAATTTGCACTTTTGCCACATATAAAGTGTAACAGCTATGACTGGGACAATGGAGGAGGGTAGGTTCAGAGAGGCAGGTGGTCATTTTAATGTGTTAATACAGCCATCAGCTTCTCAAATACATAAATTGCACTAGTCTGTAGGTTTAATAGTATTCTAGAATAGTGCCCCCTCGTGGGTGATTTAATCATGTTTTGCAGAAGCCAGCTCACCGGAAGATCTAAGGGCTCTGTGAAGTGATGGATTAGAAGAGTAGCTTTTACAGTTTTATAAAATATTCAAATATTTTACATTGATTTCTATTGTGGGATATTGATAGTTCTTTTTCCATGTTCTGTATCCAAATAAATAGCTGTGTTGCTTTTTATTTTTAACAGTATATACTTTAGTTAATAATAGTTTAATACTTTGTGGCAGACACTGTATTATATTTATTACCTCATTTTATGCTTATAACAATTTGATGAGGTGGACACTTTTTAATCTTATTTTACAGATGAGGAAACTAAGATCAGAAAATCTGCCCCATGTTGTCTGGGTGCAGTGGCTCACACCTATAATCCTAGCACTTTGGGAGGCCAAGGTGGACAGATCACTTAAGGTCAGGAGTTCAAGACCAGCCTGGCCAACATAGCAAAACCCCCATATTTACTAAAAATACAAAAATTAGCTGGGCTTGGTGGCTTGCACCTGTAATTCCAGCTACTGAGGAGGCTGAGGCAGGAGAACCACTTCAACAAAGGAGGTGGAGGTTGCAGTGCACTGAGATTGTGCCACTGCACTCCAGCCTGAGCACCAGAGCAAGACTTTGCCTGCCGGGGACAGAGGCGAGGAAACCTGCCCCATATCATACAAATAGCAAGGGCAGAACTGGCTATTGAATAGTAACAATTTGACTCTAGTGTTCATGTGCTTGACCATCTACACTTGTCTTCACCTTTGAATAAAATCTAAGAGCTCAGATAATGTAAATGGTCAGACTTAAAAGCTCCTTTTATGTCCCCATGCTTGATATTTGTCCTGAGGAATTAATTTTTATAAGAAAGATGATCACTTCAAGGAAACTATTTACATGTGCATAGTAGGATAATGTGTATAAGCAGAACTCACGCAATTTAACCTGTATATCACTATCTGCCTTTTCTAAAAACATTTTAAGGTAAAAGTTAGAAGAAATATACATTTAACTAGAATATTTCATGAGTATTTAGTGTAACCACTTTTGTCTGTTTGCTGATTTTCTAACCACCTCCTCCCCACTTGTTTCACTCATTTAGGTATCAGAAAAGGGTAGCCCTGTACATTGCTGCTTTTTGTGGGTACATTGAACTCACTGAATGGGCCCTGAAGCAGGGTGTGCAGCCCCATGAGGCCGTCGGTGTTCACCCCTATCGAGCATGGTGCCATGAAGCCCTTCATGCAGATGTCTCTAAATGCCCCATTCATGCAGCCGCAGAAGCAGGCCAACTGTTGATTCTGAAGGCTTTTGTCAACTGCAGCGTGCTGTGCCTGGAATGCAAAAATGCAGCAGGACAAACTCCCCTGACCATTGTGTTCAAACACAAGCATAAAGACTGTGTATTATATTTGCTGAGTAAAATGTGGTCCACGGTTTCTTTCCTGAAAATTTCAATCCCAATGAGGATTTATATTAAAATAAAACAATGGATCCTCAGAGCTCAGAGTCACAGTCTTCATAAAAGCCAATTTTGCGAAGCAAGGGTCTTTGGGGCAAAAGTTGGAGATACTGTGATGGTGGATGGTTTCACCAAGCCAAAAATGACCTCCAAGAGCTGGCATAAGGCTGGGAATAGGGACTCACAAAGCATCTTGCTCAAGCTACCATCTATCAGCAAACAAACTGCAAGCAGCAAACCTGTCAATCCTTTGGCAATTTCACAGTCGGACACAAGAGAACAAGCCCTTAAATTTCATCCACTTGTGAATGCAAGTACATTCTCTGAATTACAAAAACATCAACAACGAAATCAGAAAAAAATTGTTCCCATAGCTAGTAAAAAAGAACAGCTCATAAAAAACACGTATCTTCCCCAAGTCCCCCTCCCTCCAGTTTCAAGATTGGGATATTCACATCCATCGTTTTTCTATGCAACACCCAGCGCTGACTTTTTACTGAAGTCCTCCTTTGCAACTTTCTCAGAGCACAGTGGAAGGACTCCAAGGGAGAATGCAATCTACTGCTTAGCTGTGGCAAGGTAATGTTCTCTCCTTAAACATACAAAGGGAAACCTTTCATGAGGCTTAGGGTAACTGAAATAAAGTTGAGCTGAGATAAAGACGAGTACAGAAAAGCAAGTAAAACAATCTAGCCTTGTTTTTTCTTTTTTCTTTTCTTTTTTTTTTTTTTTTTTTTTTTTTTTTATGAGACGGAGTTTCACTCGTTACCCAGGCTGGAGTGCAATGGCGCGATCTCGGCTCACCGCAACCTCCGCCTCCTGGGTTCAGGCAATTCTTCTGCCTCAGCCTCCTGAGTAACTGGGATTTCAGGCATGCGCCACCATGCCCAGCTAATTTTTTGTATTTTTAGTAGACACGGAGTTTCACCATGTTGGCCAGGCTGGCCTCGAACTGCTGACCTCATGATCTACCTGCCTCGGCCTCCCAAAGTGCTGGGATTACAGGCTGGAGCCACCGTGCCCGGACTTGTTTTTTCTTTCATACATGTATTTACTACAGCCCAGTGCTGTGCCTGGCAAAACAGAAATGTGCATGAAAAGCATCTGTTTTTAAGGGGTGTGTGTATGTGTGTGTGTGTGTGTGTGTGTGTGTGTGTGTGTGTGTGTGTGTGTGGTTTTCTTTCTTGTTTTTACTTTATTCCAGGGTAAGGAATGGTCCACGATGCCATACTATGCCACTGAAAGTAATACAAGTTGTTCCAATGCATCAATACCCAGCTTCAGGGACCTCATCTTAGCCTCATGACTAGGACAAAATGAACTAATATTACTAACCAATCCAATCTGTGCAGTACTTTATTCCTCAAACTTTCAGAAGGGAAAGAAACAGAGTAGAAAGAATTGTATCAATTAGCAAGGTCCCTTGCTGCTGCTGCTGCTGCTGCTGCTGCTGTTGTTGTTGTTGCTGCTGCTGTCGCTGCTTTCTTTTTTTTTTTTTTTTTTTTTTCTGTTTGAGACAGGGTCTCACTCTGTTGCCCAGGCTGGAGTGCAGTGGTGCTATCAAGGCTCACTGCATCCTCGAATTCCTAGCTCAAGCAATTCCCCCACCTCAGCCTTCCAAGTATCTGGGACCACAGGCACATGCCACTATACCTGGTTGATATTTTTGTGTGTGTAGAAATGGGGACTCACCATGTTGCTCAGGCTGGTCTCAAACTCCTGGGCTCAAGTGATCCTTCCATCTTGGCCTCCCAAAGCACTGGGATCATAGGCATGAACCACTGTGCCTAGGCTGCTACTGTTTCTTCTTCTTTTTCCTCCTCCTCCTCTTCTTTCTCTTCCTCTTCTTCTAAAGCTAATAAAAAATTAATTGTAATTAGAGTGGAAAAAGAGAAAACTGAAATACAGGAGTGAGGCATCAAATGTCTCATAGAAGACTAGATGGCAATGAAAATGGGAGGAAAGAAACGAACACTTCAATGATAAATTGAATGATAAGGACTTGAATTGATTTACTAGGCAAGATACACAGGTGGGGTGAGATCTGTATTGAACGGGGCGCTAGAATTGACATTAATATTTACAGTGAGTTAAAAGGTAATCCATAGCACATCTAAAGAGATTAAAAAAAAATTGTATCAGAATTAGATATTTCAGGTACACAACTCTCTGATTAGAGCTCAGATCCCATCCATTACTTATGAGGTATTATTTGATGCAAATATTACAGTTAGAAACATAGATTTATGAGTGACTTTTCCCCTTAATATAATGAGAAGGAAAGAAAAAACAAGGCTAGATTGTTTTACTTGCTTTTCTGTACTGGTCTTTAGCTCAGCTCAACTTTATTTCATTTAGGTTGTTGCCACCTTGTGGTGAGAATAATTTGGGCTATAAAATGCAAAATTCAATATCCAATAGAGTGAGGTTGACAATACAGGAAGACACTTAATAGCTTAATAGTCTCAATCTTTGTAATTTGTGAGATATCTCTGAGTAGAATGTATAAAAAGAGATCATCAAAAATTCTAGAAATGTACTAGGAAAATTATTAATTGAAAAAACAGGTCAGGTGTGGTGGCTCACATCTGTAATCCAAGCACTTCGGAGGCCAAGGTGGGTGGATCACCTGAGGTTGGGAGTTCAAGACCAGCCTGACCAACATGGTGAAACCCCGTCTTAAAAAAAAAAAAAAAAAGAAATCCTCAATTAATTAAATAAAAAAATTTAAAAAAAGAAGAAAAAACAACATAGTCCAGCTTAAAATAAGGCTGTAAACCTGCAAACAAGAAAGGAAATATTGATTTGTTTTATCAACAGATACATGCTAAAAATGAGTTTATTTTCCAAACATTCAGTAAGTGTTTGCTATAGCCCAGTGCCGTGCCTAGCAGAACAGAAATGTGCATGAAAAGCATGTTTTTAAGGGGTGTGTGTGTGTGTGTGTGTGTGTGTGTGTGGTTTTAGATGAGAAAATCTGACAGTGTCTGTTGTGTAGAGTGCTTTCTTAGGGAAGAATTTTGAGTTATGAAATATATAGTAAAATCCATAAAGACCACTAATCTCACATATATGGCTTGTTGAAATTTTATGTTTTCATATATCCATGTAACCACTACTCATATCAGAAGCAAACTATTTCCAGCCCCCAAAAATTTGCCTTCATGCCCCTTGCCAGTCAATGATCCTTTATGGATGTAACTATATTATTCTCATCTCTATCACTGAAGATTAGTTTAGCCTATTCTTGAACTTCAAATAAAGGGCACATATGGCAAATACCTTTTATATTTTGCTTTTTTGTTCAACACATTGCCTGTAAGATTCATCAATGTTTTTGCATGTATTGGTTGTTCTTATTTTTATGTAGTGTTCCTTTTTATGCAGTATTTCATACATAATTTATTTATCTATTTTCCTATTGATAGGCATTTGGATTGTTTCTAATTTAGGGGCTATTTTGAATAAAAATGCATGATTATTCTTACATATGAGGTTTGGTGGACATTTGCATGCACTTCTCTTGACTCTATACCAAGAAACAGAATTGCTGGGTCATAGGATAAATTTGTTTAGCTTTAGTAAACATTTCTAAACACTTTTTAAAAGAGACTACCAGTGTGCTGCTTTTTTGTAGCTATATTTCATAAGGATTAGCGTTATTAAGGAGTGACAATTTCAAGATCAAGAAATAAATTGCTAGAGAAGACAATTTGTTAAAGAAAGGGTTACTCCGTGAAGGAAAGAAGGGAAAGAGAGAGAGGAAAGAAAGAGACAGAGAGAAAGGAAAAAAGGAGGGAAGGGAAGAAGGGAGGGAGGGAGGGACGAAGGAAAGGAGGGAGGGAGGGAAGAAAAGGGTTAGTGCAGAAGGGAGACCCATGGGGGAGTGGTGGTCAGTCTGACTGCACACTTACTCTGGCAGTGTTACTCCTAGCAAATCCTCTTTTCGTTTCTCTTTTCCCAATATTTTTCTCTTTCCTGTATTCACACCCTCCACTTCCCATCTGTTTCTGCCCCCTTTCCATGGACTCTTTCCCAGGACCTGTTCCACCTTCCTTTGTGCTGCGGAAAGGAAGAGGAGATCTACAACCTCATGCCCTTGCAGTCTTCTTGATCTAGTTCGGGTTCCTCAGAGAAGTCACAAAAGCACTTATGTCTACCTGAAGTAGACAGTAGGCAGGCAGTCAGGTGGTTTGAGCACTCCTCTAAATGACCAGTGCAGCTCTTGTACCACAAAGACACAAACACGAAGAATGGATGTACACTATTTTGATGGCTACCTGCACCAAGCTAGTATCATAGCCAGGAAATGGGGAAGAACCTAACATAATCCTTTATGATGCTGACCCAGGGATCAGGTGGGTAAAGTGACCATCAGATGTTCCTGTTTTGTAGGAAGAGGAGTCTCCCCAACCAGACAAGTCACCTGGCATCATGTGAAAGTAATTGTTGGACAACATGTTATTCAGGAACTCTACCCTTAGATACATAAAACTAAACGTCTCAGGGCTGACTCCAAGATGACATTGATGCATTTGGCATATAATCAAGTGCTAATGTGGGTTTGGGTTGATGAGGGCATGTGGCTAGTGTAGACATGACAGTCATTGAGGCCAGAAGGTCACATAGAGTATCATTCCTCAGCCTAGAAGGCAGTGTAGGCTTTACATAGGTCAAAGAATATCTGTAAGGTGTGTCTAGAAAATAACCTTCCTTATTGCTTATTGTCCAATTCCAGAGAGGTTTATGTGACCTGGGAGTCCATTTAAGTAAAGATTCAAACGTAGGGGATTGATCCAAAAGGCTGAGAGTTTGAGTGGACTAAGAATAGATGATAATCTCAAATGCTATGCGCTTTGATGGGCTCTGGTATTCTAGGAACAAGTACAGCTCTTCATTTTTATTCTTTATTTTAAAAGGCATGTCTTGTATGTTTTAATCACTTTTTGTATCTCTAGCACATAGAATAGTGCTTGCCATAAGTAAATGCTCAATATGCATCTTTTTCTTAAGGAAAACATTTTTTGAATGAATGTGGAAAAGACAAGTTTCAAATGTCAGGGAGAGAATCAGGATAGGCTCTGAGCCTAGGAAGAGCTAGGATATGTATCAAAACAGGAGAGGACTTCAAATTAAGTCAGATGGGATATGAGGAAAGGCTAAAAGTGCCTAAGTGATTTAAGACTAAACACCTAATTTTATAGGCATCATGGATGGGTTAACCCAGTTTAGAGCCCAGAAAAAAGCCATTGAGGTAAAGAAAGAAGTTAATTCAGAACAAAGAAGTTGAATCAGGCAGACATGGACCTGGTTCAAATGCTGGAAACACTATGGTACTTTTGTACAGATTGCTCCTAATAGATTGAGTCAAAGCCTTTTAAAAATACCAGACTTTGCCAAACAAAATGGGTCGAGGTGAGGTAAAGGATCCAAGATAGTAACATGGTCAAAGGCACTGTTTTCTGAAAGAGCAAGAAAGAAATTTAGTTTTTAGGAAATTACGTGGATTTGCAAAAGGCACTGTAGGCAATAGGGAAAAACTGGCTACAGATAAGCCTGGCAATATGAACTGCATCTACACTAAGAAGCATCTTGTGTGACCAAGTAGAGATTTTGCTTCTTATTCCCCCTTCCATGGGGCAGGAGGTGGATGGGAAGCTCATAGAAGTTCTTTTTCATGAAGTATGTTACATAATTAGTTTTAGATTGTTTTTGAGACAAATCTGATAGAGATATATGGAAGATTCACTGGAAAGATGTGGAAAGACTATAGTAGAGTTAGGAACCTGCAATAAGAAAAATAAGACATAATAAAGACCTGGACTAGAACAATAGTAGTTAGGGGAAAAAAGAAAAGGCCAAATACAAGAGATATTTCTGGAGAATCATCTACAAAATTTGGTCACTGACTGGGTGTGGAGATAGAGAAAGAAGGAATTTAGTTTGGTTTCTAGATTTGGAGACGGTGAAGGTAGCAAAATCAAAGTGTTAGAACAAGTAAACAGAAGTGGGACAAGTTTAGGAAGAAGATATGTTAAATTAGAAGTGCCTATGGGATAAATATTTTTACTTGGCAATTGGAGATATGCAACTTTTATGAAAGGTCAAGATTTAGGAGTCATGGATAAGGGAATTGAAACAGTGAGTAAATGAGGACTCCTAGGATGAGGTTATAGAAAGAGAGAAGGACCAAGGATAGAATCTTGGAGGACCCCAAAATTTAAGGGGAAGTAACACACCTCGGTATTAAATCACATTTGCATCCTACAAAGTAAGAACAGTTGTACTCAAATTTGCAAGTCTTTATTGGTATATAGCCAGAGAATAACTTATAACATTATATAACATTAAATTCCATTGCATTTTAGTTAAAGACTATCAAAATACCTGATATCTTTTCAGCTAAAAAATCTTCATGTATGTTTGTAGGGGTAGAAAGTGGAGAAAAGAGGCCAGGGAATATATGATGTATAGGAATATCTAGAAAAGAGAGAGAAAAAGTTTCAACCCAGAGAATTCTACGACATTGAGTGGCTTTCTGTTTCTAGTTGTGGATTCTAAATTTTTAGTATTGCCTTGGGAAAATATCATTCCCACTGCATCACAGGGAACTTATTTTGGAAAGATCCTTGTTTCTATTTCACATCTACCTATGTGACAAGATAAACTAGCCCTAGTTACAAAATCAACCTGAAGATTTCCAACCTTTTTCAGCTATGTATGCAGACAAGATCAGACCTCCTTATAAATTATATCTTGTTTTCTTGCAGTGCCTTTAAAGAGAAACGATGGCTTCAGCAGTTAGGAATAGCAAGAGTCCTGGCCAAAAAGAGCATTTCTAACTTGACTACAAGA